CCGTAAGAGTAAAATAAAATATTGAATGATATGGTTGTGTGTGATAAAATGAAATTTAATTAAAGATTATATATTATCAAAAAAATGGTATATAATTAGTTTAAGAATTGAGACAAATTAAAATTAAATCAAGGTTTAAAAATAAAAAAATAAAATAAAATAAAAAGAACAAACCGAAGCAACATATAGCCTAGGCTGATAATTAGGCATACATAGGTGTAGACTAGTGAGTCAATCTTGGACAAGCTTGGATTGAGAGAGGAGCATTTGGAGGAGCCACGTGTGTAAGTTGTGGCTTGGGGCTCACGGGTTGCCTTCGTATAAATAGGGAGGAGATGTGGAGTTAAGGCAAACAAAGAAAGGGAAAAAGTACCCGACGTAAAGAAGATAGAGTGAGGTATTAATTTTAAGGTGAGTTATCATAATTCATTTTATATATGTTTTGAGTTATCATAATTTATTTTACGTAAGTTACGTTTTATAAATTATATTACTATTTCAATTACGTGAATTATTTTCTGAACTCTATTTGTTTAAATTGAAACTCATGGATATGTTGTTTGATTTTAAAAAGTATTTTAAAATTATTTTATAAGTACCACCATGAAAGTTTCATGCATTGGGGGACGTAAATAACCATTGGCCCTCTGATTAGTTACGTTGTGACCCTCTGTCTGTCATGGATCCACTGACTCTTTGATTTCTGGTTTGGAGCAAAGTACTGTGCGGAGCTAAGTGCTACACTATTGTGGAAGCCACCTCTAGAGTTCATACGAGCCACCTATTGAGTCCATACATCTGTTCTGTTCTGCTCTGTACTGTGATTAGGATTATTTGGGTTATATGATTTCTGATTATATACTCTGTATTTTAATATCAAACTTTGTTTAGCCAATAATTATCCATGGTGATTTTATGCCCTTATGCTCTTAGTATAATAGTTCTCACTCTGTCATGTGCTTATAGCTGTTTACCAATTTTCAGGAAACAATGCAATTTAAAAATAGCTTTTGGAGAGTCTTAGACGCGGGGTTGCGGAATAGACACACATAACACTTTTATAGTATTTATAATTCTATTATTTATATGTAAATATCGGCCTTTTTGGTCAATAAATTTTGTTATAAAAATAGAAACTCCGATAATTATTTTGGTACCATCACTTAAATATTTTTCTACTCGCGTTTAGTAATTTGTTTAAAAATTGGCCGAAGGTAACTTTACTTACTGACCATCACGATGCTTAACCCTTATATACGGGGAGCGGATTGTGATAAATATGATATGTAATTCAAACTAGTCAAATTACACAACAATACTTAGGTGTACTAATATACTATCTCTTCAATAAAATTAAAGACAATGATATTACAATTTTCAATCAATCTAGACGGGACAAAATGATTCTTCTTGAGAAACAAAAAAATAATATATATGTTTGTAAGGAATTAAAAATTTTGTGCTTTAAAAAAAAGTTTGTTTTTCTTTTTTTATATATAAAATTTTTATACAAAAAAAAAATCACAAAATTGGCGTCGCAAATAAAAAACATCTTCATGGATGTTTTATTTTAAAATAAAATGTCCATATTAAATTACATCATTTTATACAAAAACTATATACGAATTTTTATATCATTATTAAAAAAAATAATATCATGATATTTATTATGTTAACAGAGCTGCTGAGTAGATCGAACTTTCCCTGACCCAAATGGCTCGATGTGCTAAAACGACGTCGTTTTGACACTTTTTTATCCCCCTTTCTTCTTTCTCTTCTTCCTCACTACAAAAAAATTCACTTTTAGCAGCGTTTTTTATTGTAGCGGTCTGAAAAATGCTGCTATAGATGAGCTATTGTAGCTGTTATTGACCACAACTAAATATAAAATTTTTAGTAGCATTTTTTTCTTAAAACGTTGCTATATACCAGAATCAAAGACTTACTCTCTCGAATGACCTTGTCCGAGAAGATTGGCCAGATCACTCAAATCGATCAACCAGTGCGGTGAAGCAACTTCACACCCAACCTCTCAATCCATTCAATCACTCATATCAGAATTTCAGTCAAAAAACAAAAAAAAAAAACAAAAACCGTTCAACTCATTCTCCTTGATTACAATTTGTGCCCTAGTCTATCAACACTTCTTTTGCTAAGTATCAGAGCCTTCATTCATCCTCCACCGCGCGCGTGTTAAGGACGTATCAGAGCCTTCTTTTGAATATTAGAGCCTTCATTCATCCTCCACCGCGCGTGTGTTAAGGACGTATCAGAGCCTTCTTTTGATTTCAAGGTTAGTCTACTCTCTCTATTTCTCTGTCTCTATCCCCCTCTTTCTTCTGTCTCTCGATTTCTCTCTACCCCTCTCTCTTTCTTCTACTGTCTCAGTTTTTCTTTCTCTCTCACTGTCTTCGGACAAGTTTGGGTCCATGGAATTCATTGTTAAAATCTCCAAAACTTCTGTACTTTGAAGGATTTCATGAACACCTTGAATGATTTTGATTTGGGAAAATAATTTAGAAAATAGATTGATTAACATGTTTTGCATTCTGATTATGATATTCACACACACACATATTTGATTATCTATGATATTCATATTTTAACCAATGTAATTAGTGAAGTGAATGGATTGTTGTTGATACTAGACAGTAAAATCTCATGCTTGAGGAATTATTATGTATGCTAGATATTTGATAAAATGCCACAATGGAGTAATAGTGCCTACATTTTTGTTTACTTTTGTTCTGTTTGTTCTTTTTTTTTTTTCCTTTCGTGAAAATTGTTGTCAATGAAATTAATGCAAAGTTTGTAATGTTTTGTTCGCTTAATAATGTGATTAGAGAAAATTGTTGCCTCCTTTTATTGTCATTGCTTTTATGAAAGAAAAATAAGAAGAAAAGGATAATGAAACCATGCACATGTTCAAAGTCCGCATTTTAACTAAATATGGGTAATGAACAAGTTCAAAGCCCATATCTTCAGAATCTTACACAAAAAAATAATAATCCGAAGGCCTCCCCACTTGTGTGCACAAAACAGAAAGTATATAGACATGGGATCAACCCAAATAGCACCAGCCAAAGCACTGTGACTAGCCTCCCAATAACTAATATTCCCATAAAATTTTATTAACAAATGGCACCAGGAGTGCAAATTTACAGCTAACTTTTTTCCCGTATATATTATTTGTAGCAAATTTATATTTCAGCATATTTGGTCCCCAAATAACACCAGGATGAAACTACTTTGTTAAAAAAAAAAAAAACCATATTTGCTAAAACAAACTCATTAAAAAATTCACAAACTCAACTGGTTCTACAATAAAATAAAATCAGAATCTAATCAAATCAGCCCCTTATAACCCTTTTTTTTTTTTTAGAAATTGAGCATCAGCCTTTCCTAAACACAATTTGGTCTTCTATTTTAATTGCATAACTTAGTCTATGAACTTTGGTGCTTACTATCATTATATTCACTAGATAATGTATGTTAAACGACAGTTTGAGAAACAATTTGGTTTTTCAAAAGTATTGTGTGACCTCTAAAGAACCCTGTTTTTCATCCCTCTTATTCAACAATTCTCCTAAAAAGATAATATATTCACCACTTCAAGAGGAACACTGAAGATTTTCTAGCACTCCACTAGATGGCTAAACCTCATGCTCATCATGCTTGGAGCATTGTTTTTGGTAGATAGAAGAAGACAGCCAAGCAGCAAACCAATATGGGTAACAACAATAGGTAATTGGCATCATGGAATATGTGACACCACTCAAAAAGGTAATGATCCCCTACACAGCCCATAGGGATAGGCATGGAAACAACTAATAACACCCATATATAATGTGTACATAGCCCAAACAGATAGAAGTGTAGAACAAAAGTAAAAGTAAAGACATAGGATTTTCCATTGTGAAGATCTCCACTTGGACTGGCGCACCATGGCTGCCTGGTCCTCCTAGTTCCTTTAGATAGTAACACAGCAATCTGGGTAGCATATAGCTAGTCTCCACTTTGATTAACACAGCCTGAAAACACCAAGAACATAGATATGAAGTATATAAATAAATAATATATAGAACACTGTTTCAAACAAGTCTCATAATATAAGGGCTGCATCACTTGACCCACAATATATGCACCACTCAACACTGAAAACAGTATAGAGGCCTGAGGTAGAGCCCTGGTATAATAAGACCTACAGCAAACCTCAATCATTTTGATAGCTTGATCCCTCAACCCACAATAGGATATAACTCTCCGAAATGATAGCTAGATAATGAGATTAAAGCAACCTAAAATAGCAAATAATTTAGAGGCTCCATCACTCAACCAACACTCAAAGAATCTGGGTAGCACATAGCTGGTCTCCACTTTGATTAACAGAGAGTGGAAACACCAAGAACATAGATGTGAACTATATAAATAAATAATATATAGAACACAATTTCAAATAAGTCTCACAATATAGGGGTTGCATCATTCAACCCCCAATATGTGCACCACTCAACACTGAAAACAATGTAGAGGCCTGAGGTAGAGCCTTGGTATAATAAGACCTGCAGCAAACCTCAATCATTTTGATAGCTTGATCCATCAACCCACCGTAGGATATAACTCTCTGAAATGATAGCAGGATAATGAGATTAAAGCAACCTAAAATAGCAAATAATTTAGAGGCTCCATCACACAACCCACACTCAAAGAATCTGGGTAGCAACCTTGCAGTATTGACATCTTTATATGACATTAATCCCCATAAATCAAGTTTGAGCGATGCTATTAGGCGGCTCTTGTAAAATATTGGTTTGACTTTGTAAATCATTTTGCCCTCAACTTTTTTCTTTGAACTTCCAATGGTATTAAGAATATCATATGCCTACCTCATGTTTACCATTCTTTGTCTAAATGTTTCAGGGGATCTGTGTATAAACATATTTATGCTCTTATTTCTTGTTAGTTGAGTAAAAAATAAATCAAGATGCCATGCAAAAGGATCATGGTAGTGCCACAGCAATGCCCACTGGACGGCTTCGGCACCGTAGGCGCTCAAATGAGGTTGGTAGCTTAGTTTTATCATTTATTTATTGTAGCAATCTCTTATAGAGTACTGATAAAAAAAAATTTAAAAAAATTAAAAAAGAAATCTCTTATAGAGAACTGTAGTTGTCCCTATTGGTTGCAAATGTTTTTTGAGGAATGCTAGAGACCCACAATTTACCTCAAAGACATGGCAAGGGAGTTGGGCTTTATATGGTTTAGTTTGTGACAAATGAAAAGTTGATGTGTAACCTGCCATGTCATTGTGGGTAAATTAGGGGATGCTTTTTAGGGGTCTCAATTGTTTTCCATATTTTTCAACTCTTAAATATTATTATTGGTTAAACTTATGAAACTTGATCATTAGTACTCATTGAGGAAAAACTAGCATCTATCTTATTGTTGGGGCTCAAGGCCTCTTGAAACCATCACTATTGTTTTTCGGAATAAGACATAGTTGGAAGTGGTTGTTTTTTAGGAACTTTTTAATAGTTACCTACTACAATAACAAAATGGATAAAATCTTGAAAGGAGTGTATGGCTTCTTCTAAATGTCAGGTTTAATGTTTTCTTCCTTTTTTTTTCCCTTTTGGCTGTGAGGTTACTCCTGAGGTTGGCAAAGAAAATGGAAGCCATTTACTTCTTAATGATCAAAACAAATACAGATCAATGTTGACTCGCACATATTCATCTATTTGGATGATTGGGGGCTTTATATTCATAATCTACATGGGCCATCTCTATATTTGGGCCATGGTCGTGGTTATCCAAATTTTTATGATAAAAGAGTTGTTCAATCTACTCAGGAAAGGACACGAAGAAAGGGACCTCCCAGGATTTAGGTTGTTGAATTGGTATGTTAAACTAGATTCTTGTCAATGTTCAACTGTCAACTGAAGTGTGGTGTTTATCTAGGAGAGCTATTCTTGGAGAAAGCTCATTAGTTAAATGAATGACAACTAATGAGCTTTTTCAATTTATTTAAATTCTAAGTGAACCAAATTTTGACACAATTGTATAATTTGTAACAAACATGTTGTATCTTTCAACGGCCAGCTTGTCCTTCTTTGCCCTGTTTTTGGGTTTCACTAACATCCAAAATTTCTGTCAATGATCTCCAAGTGAGTTTGATTGCTATATATGACAAATTGTTTCTGTTTGCTTTTAATTTCAACAGGCATTTTTTCTTCACTGCTATGCTGTTTGTATATGGCCGCATTCTCAACCAACGGCTTGCCAACACTATTACTTCTGAGAAATTCTTCTATCATCTTGTGAGCGGCTTTATCAAGTATTACATGGTTACCTGCTATTTCTTGTATGTTGCAGGTGAGTTTTATATCATTATGCATTTTCCTGCAAAAGGTTTGGGGAATCTTACAATTAATATGCCTCTTGTAGATCTGCATCACACTTTAAAACGCTACCATGGACACTAGTACGAACACAGACAACATCGATTTTCAAAAAAATTAGAATACTAACATGGCATGGATACTAGAAAAAATATTTCATATATTTTTATTTGCTATGCATATGAATATAAATTTAGGGAACAGAGATGAGAGACATTGATGTATATGTGGGTGTATTTTTGTTTTTTCTACTCTCTCCTTATTTATTTCTATATATATATTTTTTTGATCCAAAATCTGCCTTCTAAAATTATCACTGTAAAGGTCTCTTGAGACACATCTACAGACAGCGTGCATGTTGTCATCCTGTCACACATTTTACATGCTATTCAAAGTTGGCTCAATATCTATGGCGGCTCATAAAAAAATGGAACTTCTTTACACTATCAAATTGCTATATATAGATGTATGGTCCATTTGAATACTATTCCACTATCCATTGTGAATGTACATTAAAACGAAGATTCTCCTCGGAAGTCTTTTCTCTTCCATTCAAGTTATATATTATTGGTAATTGAATAGTAAACATAGCCTATAACCGTGATTAATAACTGTCGCTGCAAATAAAATACAAAAAGAATTTTATGGCTATAGCGACAGTGTAAAACAGATGGAAAAGAATTAAAATATAGCAGCGGTTCACAAAATGTCACAAAAAGTGAAAGATATAGCAACAGTTGACCCGTCACTATAAAGTTAGCAAATAATGGGTAAATTTAAGATATAGCGACATTTATAACTGTCACTACATCGACCGTCACAATAAAAATAACTATACCAGCGTTTGAGGAAAACGTCACTATAAGGATATGTTGACGGGGCTATTGCGGCGGTTTGGCTGTCGCTATTTCAACCGCGGGTAAAGGTTTTTTAGTTTTTAGTGACGCTTTTTTCTGCTTTTAGCGATAGTTTTGGCGGCTGCTAAAAGTGAATTTTTTTGTAGTGGTGTTGAATCAGGGTGTGCCTGGCGCAAGCTGAATGTGCAGCGTGTCTTGGATGAATCGACTAAAAACCATGTTAAAATGCGGTCAAAGGAAGCTAAAAAGAAGCTAAGACCACGAAAGTATGTTGTGGATTTGATTTGCAGAATCTCTTCTTCATAATTAACTGGTGGATTAAACATGCTTATCTCTCTCTCTCTCTCTCTCTCTCTCTCTCTCTCTCTCTCTCTCAAACACTAATTTTATGCTTTTGCATCTATATCCATTAATAATTTTTTGATGTGTATGTGCTGCATAAAGGCTTTATGTTTTGCTATCCATATGCCTGAGTAAGATGTAGTTTAATGGGCATATGCAGGAATTTTACCTATTGAGATTTTGCCTTCTGGTTAATGTTTCATTCTTGCTCTTTCCAGAGAATTTTATACACTTTATCCTTTTTTCTGTTACCAAGATTTTATTTAACTCAAAAGCTCTAATTAATGTTATTGGCACATTTGTGGTTTCTTTTCCTTTGAAACTTTGTTTAAAGTTATATATGACCAGAACCTGTATAAGTGTACAATGTAAATTTTCAGAGTAGAGTTCTGTTGAATACTTGGTTATTTTTATAAAGGTCATCCATATTTTGCATCCTTGGTGTTAATGTAAAGGTGGTTTCTCTCTTTACAATGTAATCCATGACAAACTAATTCACGAGATCACTCAAGTCATCATGCAGAGGATTTATTACCTTGAAACAATGCAGACTAAGTTAGAATGAATTATTATTTTTAGAACATTGCTTATGAAATACACATGCTTAAATGGTTTGTGTGTTTGCAGCTGCCATCTGTGTTTCTAAGTTACATTTTTATGCTTCCAAAATGATTAAGATCAAGTAGAAATGATTAATGTTCTTATTTTGGTTTGCTGAATTAACTTTTTAGTTTATTCATATGCATCAGCGGTTTCTGAATTAATTTGTGTTTTCATTTTTCAGGTCAGAAATTTTTTGGAGGGATGCAAAATATGGTCCAAGAATTAAAGAACTTAGTTTTTTAAGTTTTTTCATTTTTTAATATATGTAAGCACAGATAATTTTTTTTATTTAATTCCTTTGTATATAGTTTTGAATATTTAATTTCCATTTATGAAATATATGACGTTATTCTATTCAATATGTGGTTATGATTCAAAATATAGTATATAGTGTGTATTACATTATTCAAATGTGCATACAAAAATAATATTGATTATTTTTCAAATATGTAGCACCTTTTTTTTATCACAGATTTTATTAGTTATTAATCACACTTAAAAGATGTGATGAAAGCATAATGAATTTGAACAATTATGCGGTCTACGCAGGTAATGAAATTAATAAATATGCGGTCTACGCAAGGAAAGAATTTGAACAATTATGCGGTCTACGCAGGTAATGAATTTGAACAATTATGCGGTCTACGCAGGTAATGAATTTGAACAATTATGCGGTCTACGCAGGTAATGAATTTGAACAATTATGCGGTCTACGCAGGTAATGAATTTGAACAATTATGCGGTCTACGCAGGTAATGAATTTGAACAATTATGCGGTCTACGCAGGTAATGAATTTGAACAATTATGCGGTCTACGCAGGTAATGAATTTGAACAATTATGCGGTCTACGCAGGTAATGAATTTGAACAATTATGCGGTCTACGCAGGTAATGAATTTGAACAATTATGCGGTCTACGCAGGTAATGAATTTGAACAATTATGCGGTCTACGCAGTAAAGAAATTATTACAAACATGCGGTCTACGCAGGTAATGAAAATAATAATGCGGTCTACGCAAGCAATACATGCGGTCTACGCAGGTAAAGAAATTGAACAATAAATATGCGGTCTACGCGAGAAAAGAAATTGAACAATTATGCGGTCTACGCAAGCAATACATGCGGTCTACGCAGGTAAAGAAATTGAATAATTAATATGCGGTCTACGCAAGGAAAGAAATTGAACAATTATGCGGTCTACGCAAGCAATACATGCGGTCTACGCAGGTATAGAAATTGAACAATTAATATGCGGTCTACGCAAGGAAAGAAATTGAACAATTATTCGGTCTACGCAAGCAATACATGCGGTCTACGCAGGTAAAGAAATTGTGCGGTCTACGTGCAGTCTACGCAAGCAAAACATGCGATCTACGCAAGTAATG